ATACAAACTAGTATTTATACTTAGGTATAAATAACTAAGAGGTTTTTTCTGGTTCAACAATATAATATTCAATGTACTTACTGTGGCGATTTTGAACGTGTATACTGAGATTGTTCCGTTGGGTGAACGTCTTGAGGCATATTCCGCACGAATTAGTAGATCCACCGTGGGTTTTGGCATGTCTATTCAGATCGCGCTTATGAACGTACACTTTTTCACATAACACGCAGTTAAACATTTTTAAATATTTTGTACTAGAGAAGTTATTTAACAGAGTTAGCGAGGTAATACAAATGTACAACAGTTGTAGACGAGCTGCACTGACCGCCTGATCTGTAGAACATATGCGTTGGCGGTGGACGCGAATATCGGATGCTGTGGCGCGAAATATATGGGGAGGGGTGATTCTTTCATATATACTAATATACTACTATACTAGACTATGTTTAGAGTATATATATATATACGTATATACTACAGCTAGTATGTACATAGTATGTAGTATGTACAATGTACATAGTATATAGGTGTGTGCATAGTATATACATAGTATGTAGTATGTATGTAGTATGTACATAGTATGTATGTAGTATGTACATAGTATATACATAGTATGTAGTATGTACATAGTATATAGGTGCGTGCATAGTATATACATAGTATATAGGTATGTGCATAGTATGTACATAGAAGGTATATAGTATATATAGGTATATATAGGTATATACTATAGCATGTTCGGAGTATTTACTATATATATATATATATATATATATATATATATATATATACCGCGGGGGCCCGCGATGACGCGGGAGGAGTCGGATTACGTAGTTCCGGTGCGGGACGGGCGGGCGAAATATATGGGGAGGGGTGATTCTTTCATATATACTAATATACTACTATACTAGACTATGTTTAGAGTATATATATATATATACGTATATACTACAGCTAGTATGTACATAGTATGTAGTATGTACAATGTACATAGTATATAGGTATGTGCATAGTATATACATAGTATGTATGTAGTATGTACATAGTATATAGGTGTGTGCATAGTATATACATAGTATGTAGTATGTATGTAGTATGTACATAGTATGTATGTAGTATGTACATAGTATGTATATAGTATGTAGTATGTACATAGTATATAGGTGCGTGCATAGTATATACATAGTATGTATATAGTATGTAGTATGTACATAGTATATAGGTATGTGCATAGTATGTACATAGAAGGTATATAGTATATATAGGTATATATAGGTATATACTATAGCATGTTCGGAGTATTTACTATATATATATATATATATATATATATACCGCGGGGGCCCGCGATGACGCGGGAGGAGTCGGATTACGTAGTTCCGGTGCGGGACGGGCGGGGGATTGGCGGAGTGGCGCAATATATATATATATTATATAGGTATATATAGGTATATACTATAGCATGTTCGGAGTATTTACTATATATATATATACCGCGGGGGCCCGCGATGACGCGGGAGGAGCCGGATTACGTAGTTCCGGTGCGGGACGGGCGGGGGATTGGCGGAGTGGCGCAATATATATATATATATATATATATATATATATATACCGCGGGGGCCCGCGATGACGCGGGAGGAGCCGGATTACGTAGTTCCGGTGCGGGACGGGCGGGGGTGGAGGGGGGAGGGTGGCGGGGGGAGCGCAGACTGGCGCAGTATAGGCGGGGGGAGGGTGGCGGGGGTAGGGCAGCCTGGCGCAGACTGGCGCAGTATAGGCGGGGGGAGGGTGGTGGGGGGAGCGCAGACTGGCGCAGTATAGGCGGGGGGAGGGTGGCGGGGGTGGCGCAGACTGGCGCAGTATAGGCGGGGGGAGGGTGGCGGGGGTGGCGCAGACTGGCGCAGTATAGGCGGGGGGAGGGTGGCGGGGGTGGCGCAGACTGGCGCAGTATAGGCGGGGGGAGGGTGGCGGGGTGGCGCAGACTGGCGCAGTATAGGCGGGGGGGGGGGTGGTGAAGCGGGGGGTCACCAGTACCGGCCTTTTCCTACTACTCACCCATTTAAAAGGGGTGGCAGTCGCCACCCTTACTATATAGGTTCGGCGCCACTGTTAATATGACTATAATAATTGGACATATTTTTAGTTCAGTTCGATTCAAATACAACATATTATACTGTGCTGTTATATAATAAATACATTTTATTATTTTAGTCAAAGAAAAAAAATATTTTTAACTAATTAAATAATTATTATATATAATATGAATAATATTATCATGTAGTTTACACTATAGCTAGGTATGAACAACTATAATAAAAGTTCCAGTTTTAATTATTTAAATAATTAATTGTCGAGTATTATTTAATATAATATTATTCTGGTAGAGCTATTACAGCCTATGGGTATAGGTGACGGCTATCCTCAAAATAATATGTGTTGCTGAAAATATTTCAGAAACACCCTAACACCCACCTACGACCTACCTTAAAATAATTATTAGAAAATACAAATTACTAATATTCTATCAATGGCACTAATGGCAGTGACGGCATGAACCAACTTTTTTTCTATGAATGTCAATAAAATTTGATTTGTAGGGTAATAAAACTTGAAAATTTAATACAAGGCTCTTACTATATTGTAACAATAGTAGTTAAAAAATATTAAAAATCCTTATTCACAGCTTTTTTTTTATAAGCATTTAAAGTTCAAATCTTGACAAAATACTGAAAAATCACGAAAATTAGCAAATTATTTTGAGTTGAAAATTCATAAAATTTTTTTTTTTAAATCTAAGATTTTAAAATCTAATACAAGATTCCTTATAACCTTATCCACCTTTATCAAAAAAAAAAATGTCTATAAGCAAATCAAATTAAAATTTTATGAGCATTTCAAGTTCATATTTTTACAATAATGGATATTCACACGATTTCTCATGTAGTGGTTTTGTTATTTTATTGTGATTCAAAAACGAATAACAGTAAATACATGAAAATTTTACTGAATGTTTGTATTTTTCATTTTCTATACACCAAAAGAATTTGAAAATATTTCGACTCATTTTTAACTCTTTTTTTTTTATTCTATAAATATCCATAAAGTTTTATTTGTTGGGTAAAAAAGCGTGAAAATTGAATAGCCGTTGAAAAATATTAAAAATAGATAAGCACAATTTTTTTTTATAAGCATTTAAAGTTCGAATTTTGACAACAATTTATCAAATTTAAAATTTAATAATTATTTTGTAGTTAAAAATTTATAAAATGTTCAACTTTTATATCTAAAGATTAAAAATTTAAAACAAGATTCCACGTAAGTAGTTAATTCTGTTACCAAAAAATCTAAAAAATACATAAGCACAGTTTATTTTTATAGTCATTTTAAGTTCAAATATGGACGAAATTACATATTAAAAAACCTAGAATAACTATTTTAGTTATTTTGTCGTGATAGTTGTGATATTATTCATGGGTTCTTGAAACTTCTAAAGTACACTATTATGTATCTATGATAGTAACAGGGTTTGTTGTTGATATATAACGCATTATAAGTACCTAATAGATATTGTGATATTATTAATTTGAACCAAATTTATAGGTTATAGGTATTATAGGTCAATTTTTTTTAATACTATAGATAAGTCTTATACCTAGACCGTCTCCGCTCAGAATCGTTTTTTTTATACAATGATAATATATCATTGAATTTAAATAAATTTATCACCATCCATTACAATGACCCACCTTTTTATTTTGATGATATTGATGATTATGTTATTGTGTTATGTTTAGTGAATGAATTCAGTCTTCAAAATATTGTATCATGTACCAGGGTCCTAGTCGGGTATACTCTTCGCCGCCGTCACGTTCTAGCGGAACGCGAACCACCGCCGCTCAGTACAATTCTGCCGCCGACGCCGCTATGAGTAGTATGGGCCCCTGTTAACTTAAAATCATTTGTGGGGTAATCGACAATCCTAAATGGCCGCGGCACCCCGAAAAACGACATACGATATACAGTCTAAACATAGCCAACGGCCACCGAGGCCGACGTGGCGCTAACCACAGTACCCGGCGGCCGAGTTCAATGTCAGTAGTGCTGAGCACCGTTACGTGATATTCTGTCGTGCGAGTTCGGCGCATAGATAATTTTATAATATTATTATCTATGGTTCGGCATCAGGATCGCGGGGTGCGTATCATCGGCAGTTAATGAATTATAGATGATAATAAAATGTGTAAATATTACGAGAGGATCGAGAGCAAAATTCAGCGATCAATCAGAAAGTAAGGATTATTAGTATTCACATAATATTGATTATTATTAATTGAGATCTTTATTTTATTTACAATTTCGCTTTTAAAGTGTGTTGTTTGTACGTGGTACGTGATACAGCTATTACAGGTAAAAATACCATATGAAACTACCACGAGCCACCACTGTTATTATCTATTATAGTTAATTTAGAAATCGAATATAAAATTATAATATAATATATTTTCATTAAAAGTGCACCATAACGGAGGGGCCTCTCACGACAGCGGCCCCGGTGGATTTCTCCCACTCTCCACCTGGGCCAGTCCGCCGCTGTGACTTCCTCTTAAATTAGACTATCAATCGTAAACAGTAAAGCCATGGACAAGAGTAAAGCGTCCCGTTCGTAATATAGCTTTGGTGGAAATTGTGGGGGAGGGGTTAAGGATTTGGCGGGGCATCGTGTAGAGAAGTCGGTGATTAAAACCGGGTACCTATTTATAATATATATTTAATAAAAGGCATTTTCGGATCTTAACGCTCGGCAAAACAGATATAAAAATCAAAAATCGAATTGCTGTTATCACGTTTCTCGATATCAGTTCAAGCCCTGATATCACTTCGATGAGTTATCAAATTGTTTGCGAGTATTAGAACAATAATCATAACTATAGAAAATTCACTCTGCTCACCGTTTAGTGTTTTTCACTTCAGTGTTTCTTTAAAATCAACTGACATTCATTATGGTTCTCGAAAGTACTATGATATGGTAAGTAATCACAATGATATTCGTTTTCGGGTAAAATTCGTTCATTTTCAAATCTCATATTTTGTATACTGGTAATGGCGACAGTTAACGTAACAACTACATAACACATTCAACCACATATATGTCCCTTTTTTTAAGCTTAATTATTTGTTCCATTACTAATCATTTAATATAAGTCTATATAAGTATATTATACCTACATATTATTTCATGTTTGATTCATTTCAATATTTTTGAGTACAGCACTACAGCAATACCTACCTACCTAACTAGTAATCTTTATTATTTTCTTTTAAACATTTTTATATGGTTTAAAAAGTATTTTATTTGTTTGTTTCGTTACATACCGTAAGTTAAAACAGTAAACAAACAAAATAAAACTATTTAATTTACCTAAATAATTAACAATTTTCAGAAGTTAAAAATAATAAGTACCTACCTACTTCAAATTATATTTAAATATCTTTATAATCATAAATTGACTTGTAATATATTCTTTTGTAGTGTTGATAACAGCAACTACATGCAAAATGATGATTTTTTACCTACCCGTCTACAAGCTCAACAAGATGCTGTTAACATAGTATGTCTTTCTAAGACTCGTGAAAATCCAGAGAACATCGTCGGTCTATTAACTTTAGCCAAGTATGAATTTCTATATTTTTAAATAACACATTGAATTTAATGCTTGGTTGATCATTTTGTTTTTAGTGTTCGTGTATTGGCTACTTTAACAGCCGATGTTGGTAGGATTCTATCAAAATTGCAACAAGTAAAACCCAATGGTATCATGGATTTTCCTACTGGCATTAAAGTTGCTCATGTAATTTATAATAATTATTATATAAAGTATTTACTGTTATACAACAAATTAATATAAGTGACACTTTTGCCTCATTGAACTTTTCAAATCAAGCAGTACTTTAATGTTTAAATTATATCACACCAAGCACATAAATGAGAACAGTTGATATATATTACATTATTCAGTAGTTATTAAATAACTAAATTAGACAACAGCTATTCATTTTCAAATATTGAAAGCATAAATTAGTAGTTGCTAGGGCTAAATAGGTACCTTTAAAAACCTTAAAATATGCATTTATTTATGACCACCTAAAAAAAACCACTAAATATCCTCTATATAAATATGGTCTTAGTATATGCCTCAAAACCAAAACATTTTGACTATATACCAGAAAATTTTTAATTTATGTTGTAAAAAATATACATAAATGTAAGCTGTATAAAAATTTAAAAAAATTATTATATCTATGTAAATCATTATTTATATTTCCAGACTTTGGATATTTTTTAAGCATGTTCAAAAAAATAACTGAAAACTCCATTTATTGGTTTTCTATTTATTTTTCTATAATTAATTCAATAAATACTAATTACTACACAAGTTAATAGTTGTATTAATGTACAAAATCATGCATTTATGATTGATAAAACCATACCATTGCAGGTTCATAATTTTAATTATAAAACACAATCCATATTAATTTCTTTGAATATTCTCTTAGGTATACCAGTATTAAATTTTTTTCCGAATTCAAAGAAAAAATATATTCTAATTTAAAAATAGATATATAAAACATGCACCCACTTAAAATGAAAATATAACAAAATACGCATTAACATGTGATAAAGTAAAACATGTCTGTAGACTCCTGTCTGTATTATGAAACAGATTTCTATATCACTAAGCAATGTTTAATGAATATTAGATAACATGCAAATTCTTATATGTCCTTAGACCAGTAATAATACTTATATTAAATACTTATATAACTAATAATACTTAAAAACATGTTAAATGTAATAGTTTTTTTAAATTAAATATTTTTACTATAATTTACTAAAAATCAGGTTAGTTTAGAAAAAAATAAGGAATAGTCATTTCACTTCAATATATACTACTGCTGTCAATATATTATAAAACAATTTAAATTAAAATAGTGTATCAAACCCTAAATATTTTGAAATATTACAGTTAGCGTTGAAGCATCATCAAGGAAAAAATCATAAAATGCGTATAATTGCATTTATTGGCAGTACGGTTGGTTTGGGTGAAAAAGAAATTATTAAGTTAGCTAAGAGGCTCAAGAAAGAAAAGGTTAATGTGGATGTTGTTTCTTTAGGCATAGAGGTAAAAATTAATTTAATAAAACTTGAATTATAGAACATTTTAATATTTTATACTATTCAATTTTTAAGATGAAAATTCTGATGTATTAACTGCGTTTGTTAGTGTGTTAAATGGTAAAGATGGTGGTGGCAGCCATCTTATTGCTGTACCACCAGGTTCACATTTTTCCGAAGCATTAGTATCAGCTCCAGTTATTCAAGGAAAAGATGGTGCTTCAGGAGCTGGTCTTGGCAGAACAGTATATAAATTCAGAGTTGATGCTAATGAAGATCCAAAATTAACTTTAGTTAGTTATTAAATGAGTCAACTCTTGGGAAAAAAATTTGTATAATCTATGTGATTTATTTTTAAAGTCAATGCTTATTTCTATAGAAGAACAAAAAGCTATACAGGAGCAAGAAGCTCGTCGAATTCAAGCTGCATCTGCTGGTGCTGAAACGTCAACTGCTCGTCCAGAAACAATTAATAAAAGTAAGCTGAAAAAATATTTTTATAATTCCCTATGTTACAAAAAGCTAAAGGATTTGTTGGCTTTTAACTTCCAACTTCATACCTTAATATTATTAGTAAAAAGTAAAATAATATTTTACTGTCCATAGAATACTTATTAGTAATTAATAATAATTACTAATAAATTATAAGATATGTAAAATTAGTAAAATAGATCTTGAGAAGCTTTGTAGCCACACCACTCAGATATGTTATCATGCCACCATCTATAATAATAAATATATAGTGTTGATAAAATAATTCTATTGTTCTTGAACCATTGCTATAGACACCTACCTACCTACCTACCATAGGTTTTTATCACATATTATGGATTATTTAAAAATTTTAAATAATAATCAAACGGTTTAATAATAACCACCTTGGGTCGTAGTACCGTTTTGTTTTTCATTATTAAATTTAAAGTTTAACATTATTAAAATTAATTAAAAAGATTGTGTCAATACAAGTGCCCGGTGTAAATGCCAGAAATTCCAATTTATTATATTTATTTATATCATTATAGACACTTTTGAAATATATTATTATACAAATTAATTAATTCATTTATATCATTTATTTACTTATTTGAGCAAAAATGAATTACTACCACTACATTTATACAATTTAATGTTTATTATTATTATTATTATTGTTTATTTTTTGGTACTATGTTTTTTCTGGTATATTTATATTATGGATGGCGGCAAGATAAACCCGAGTGGCAGGGCTATGGGTGTTTAGTCTCCAATGCGGAAAATAACAACTCAGTATCCAAATATTAAGATGATTATAATTCCTTTCAATTTTTATATTTAATTTTTTCAAATTCTATTCTTCGGTTGTGTCTTTTAGATTATTAATTATTTTGTGTCACATCATCCATATCACACTAAACAATAAAACTATACCTAAATAATTTTAAAAAAAGGATTAACAATGATAACTATCACTATAATTTAGATTTGTATTCTAGCATATTTGTTCAGTTTTCTTCATAGCTTTTAATGTTAAGTAAACACTAAATATTTTATCATAAAAATTTATTGTATATTATAAAACTATGAATCTTATTTATGCATATTTTTGGATATTTATATATTACAATTTTTGGAGCATTCATTTTAAATTTTTTACAATTTCAAAGTTATATTTTACCTGCTATGGTTATCTCTGTCTTATACATGTGTCATACCAAATATTTGACTGAACTATTACTATAGTTTATACTTTATTTATAGTTAAGGGGATGTTATAGTGATATTTGTTATCTCTGTCTTACAAGTGCGTAACAGCAAATTTTATGTCAGCATATCACGTTTAGCTCCGTTAGTTTAACAATTATAGTGAATTGACCTCTTATAAAATTTAAATGTAAGATTATTATCTAGGCAATGACTTCGGCTTTTTATTATATTTTAATTTTAATATGAGTTTAAAAGTATAGTAGAACTCCAATCATCCGGACTAATTAATGTCAAGGGTGGTCCGGAACAAATATATAAACAAATATCCAGAAGATTGACATATGACATATTACGTATTTATCATGACAAATTAGATAGGTATCATCACAGTTGCACTAGTTTTGAGTAGTAGATACGCATCTCCTTCACCTCCGGCCTATATTGTGGTTCTCCACTTTTCATTGGTTGATTTTGTTCTATGTAATATATGTATGTATATGATTGACAGCCAATAAGGAGTGGAGAACTACAATATAGGCGAAGTAAAGAGCGGAGGATAAGTATCAAAATACTGTGATGATACCTTTCTAATTTGCCATTGTATTTAAATAACGTTATATAACGATTGACAGACTAAACTGTATGACGATTAGACAACAACTGACTTACTATTACCCAATACCTATTCTTTATCTAATCTATGATTACGTTTATGAGGAACTAAGAAATTCGATTACAATTTACTTGTTATCAAAAGACATTTGTAGGATGGAGACAAGTGACAGTACATAATATGGAAGTGATTTACTTCTAAATAATTTATTAGTTACTGGAAACTGAAGTAATGGTAACATATGTCAACTTTGGTCAAAACTTTAAATAAACCTTGATATTATATTTCTAATGACATCATTATTTTAAATTTAACCCCATTTTAGTATTTTATGTATTATCTTATAATTATTACAGCTCCAACAGAAGAAGCTATGTTGGAGCGTGCTTTGTCAATGGAAACTAGTGAAGATGAGCCTATGGTTGTACAGGAGGGATCTGGCGCTTCAACTTCATGACCTTCTGCTGTAGCTCCATCTCAAGTGGACTTTTATTATATGAGTGAAGAACAGCAGATAGCATTTGCTATGCAAATGTCTCTGCAGGACTTGGCAGCTAAAGAAAAAGCATCAACATCAAGTGCCAAATTTTATTGAAATTAGATTTTCTGAGTAAATTAACGAATTCTTATCGAATATATTTTTTATATTTTTTTGTAACTCAAAAACGAACAACCGTAGATACTTGAATTAAAAATATTTATTTTATCATTTAAGATACCTACAATCTACATGATAAAATTTTCAAAATAATTAGACTCGTTTTAAGCCATTAATATTCATTTGAAATTTTAATTTTTTTTAGTTAGCTAATTTTTCAATAAAATGTTTTTGTTTGGTCCATATGCTTATAAATTTAATAGAAGGTTATTCGTATAAACTATAATAATATAGTTCGAACCAAAAATCTAAAAAATACATACATAAATAGGTAAAATTATTTTTTATAGACATTCTATAACCTTAAATTTAGACGAAATTAGATAATTAATTAAATAAATTATTTAAACGAAGATTTACGACATTAGTTACTTTGTTATAATTTAAAAATATTATTTCATATTTGTGGGTAGGTAGGTACTTGAAACTTTTAAAGTATATTATTTTATTGTATAATACGCATATAAATAACATTTTAAAATGCAATATTTTCGCAAACATTAATCGAACCTGCTTTAGTAGTGAGTACTAATGTTTAATACTAAAACAAATAACTTTAGTAGCAATAATTACCTACATAAAATATACTTGGTAATATTATAGGGTGGCAGACAGTCTTGAATCGGAATTGTTTTTTGTATCCAATGATTTTATATTTTAATGATATTTTAACACATATACCTACCTAACTACATTGCAGTACCCATCACCCACTTGACACATTATAGGTATATTATATCATTACGTTTTATCTACAATCTATACTAGGGAGTTTTCAGTTGTTTAATAATATTATGTAAAAGTTATGCGTGACACCAGTCACTAAAGCTAAACTCATTGTACAATGTATTAATTACATTCATAATATACATAATAACATTTAAAAATATTACATCCACTCATCGCTTAAGTACCTAATAAATAATATTTAATTTTGTTTCTCTTAAAATCTAAAAGGATAATTTATAGACCTCATGACTGTATCATTAACAGAAAAATAATATATAATAATACTGCCAATAAAGAAAGACGATCAATATTTATTTAAATATTTTAACCGACGATCGCACGCTAACGCCTTATTTTAATAATTAACATTAAATAAACCAATAGTATTTAATAGTTATTAATAAATAATAAATCCATTCAAACAATCCTGTTTTTGTATAGAGGGAGTTGTTACTTGTTCATACCATTCCATCATACACATATAAACTAATGGACATCGCTTCGCACACCGCCCTGCCATAGGTTAATCCGGACGACATAACTCAGAGAGGATACATAACACAAGAGCATATAAGAGAGAGAAAACATGTTTTGGGGTAGTATATGTTTTGGCTCACTGTAATGGCCCATAACTTCTCTTTTCTATCTCAACAATTCCGTCTGGTGATTCTCTAACTATGAGCTGTAAATTATAAAATTTTCATTTTCATTTCGTTTGAGCTGTTATTAAGGACATTTTCAGTTTCCAATGTTTTTAGTTTTTTTTTCTATGAATGTCAATAAAACTTTATTTTATGAGTAAAAATACTTGGAAATTTAATACAAGGCTCCTTCTATATTATTACAATGAAATCACAAATTTTGTTTATAAACATTTAAAGTTAAAAAATTTAAAAATCACAAAAATTAGCAAATTAATTTCAGTTGAGAATTCATAAACATTTTTCTTTTTAATTCTTAGATTTGAAAATGTAATACAAGATTCCTCATAAGTTTTTCTACCTTAATAAAAAAAAAAAAAAATGTATACAAGCAAATCAAATTAAATTTTTATGAATATTAGAAATTCATATTTTTACCATATTGGATATTCACTCAATTTCTCATGTAACGGTTTTGTTATTTTATTGTTATTCAAAAACGAATATTTGTAGATACATTAAATTTTACTGAATGAACATATTTTCATTTTCTATACACCATACAATTTTGAAAATATTTTGACTTCTTTTGAGCTGTTTACGGACATTATCAGTTTTCAATTGTTTTAGTTTTTTTTTTTATAAATATCAATAAAATTGTAATTGTTGGGAAAAAAAGCGTGAAAATTTAATGCGAGGCCCCTGATATTTATAATAGAAGTGAAAAATATTATCAAAATACTTATAACACATTTTTTTTTGGAAGCACTTAAATTTAAATTGTTGACTAAATTTTCACATTTAAAATTTAATAATTGTTTCGTAGTTAAACATATTTTATAAAATGTTCAACTTTTATAGCTAATGATTGAAAAAACAAGGTTCCTCGTAAATAGGTAATATATAAATTACTTTATTCACAATTATATCATCAAATATACTTAGTAATATCATAGGCTGGCAGACCGTTTTCGCTCAGAATTGTTTTTCTTATACAAAGATATTTTATCATTGAATTCAAATTTAACAACATCCATTACAGTGACCCACTAATTGTAACCTACTTTACACTACCACTTACCCAGTTACCCACTTTTCAGTTTTTTTACTATGAATTTCAATACAATTTTCCAATTTTATTTGTTGGGTAAAAAATATTATGTTTAATCAAGACCCGTAAAATCAATGATAAAATGAACTATTGCGCCATTATTGTGAAGTTATTACTCATAATGTGATTCTAGAGTCTTCTCAATGACTATTATTTCAATTCACGCATTTTGAGTAGGATAGATTATATATTACCTGTCAGCATTGAACATTGATGTGTAAATATATTTACTATAAATATTTAATATTTGAAATAAAAAAAAATACCATGTTGCAAGTACCTAGGTAGGTATTTGAAAATAAGTAGGTAGGTACAATGAGTGATCATCTCGAATGCCAGAGTAATTTGTTTAAATAATGTGTAATGCTTTAGAGTTTAGATAGTAGAATCGTCAGGTGTCCGTATATAAATAACCAGACACCTGCAGTGAACATTTCTTGTATATTATGCAGGTCATTTTTTTTTTAGAGTACCAAAAACCAAAATTGATTTGTTGAATACCGATTTTGCGTAAAAATGTTTGATGTTCCCGGCACTTTTGAAAACTTTTGAGAATTTTAATTTTTGTAATGCACCAACAAGATTCACTTTCCCATCGAACAAGATAGTGGAAAATCGAACCATTATTTCGACCATTTATATAGTGTACACAGACACAAAAAATTAAAATTAAAAAACACACATAATTGTAAAATCAATACATTCACCGCTCCATTCAGTTTCTAAAATAAATTGGATTAATTCAATTGAATTGTAGGCATGAGTACATAAATGTGAATTGTACTACATATAATATTATATAGACAATGACTAATTTAAGACTTTTAAGTTTAAAAATAATAAAGATGCATAGGCACAAGTTTTTGTTCAATAAGCATTTAAAGTTCATATTTTGACAAAATTCATCAAAATTTCGAAAATTTAAAAAAATTAAAGTTAAAAATTCAGCATTCATTTCAATAAGGCACATTGCAGTTATATTTATAATACAAATACTATATGTGTACATATTGTTTGAGTAAAAATGAATTAAAATAAATTATGTTCAGTCTGACCTCTCTGTTTGACTTACATCCTTATGAATATTCAATTTATGTGTCACATGTTAAACTACGTCTTATAGACACACAAATTTACAATGCATACGGACATGAGTGCCATACGATAACGTCGACATTAATTACCCGAATTCATTCTATTTGGTATTCAAATGACATATATAATATTATATTATATTTCATATTATTTATGTTAAAAAAAAAAAATAGAAAATTATTTCATCAAAAGAAGTACTTATATTGAATAAAAATATAGAGTATAATTATTTTTTTTTTTGTTAAAACCTGATAAGGTCGGTGGCGTACGCAGGGGGAGGAGCTAACGGGCTGAAGCCCAACCCCTCCCATTGCCGTATTATTATTACTTTTTCCAAGTCTTAGCTATACAAATTTAATATTTTATACATTTTGAACTACAAATTAATTGAGGTTTTGTTAAAATTTGAACTTTAAATGCTTATAAAAAATAATTTTGCCTATATGTTTCTTAATATTTTTAAACAGCTATAATAAAAACTTATGATGAACCTTGTATTAAATATTTAAGCTTTTTGACCAAACAAATAATTATTTATTGACATTTTTAGAAAAAAAAACTAAAATTAATCAAATGCAATCCAACTGAAGACAGTCTAATCAGGGTTAGGTACCAAACAATTTTAACAAATTTTCATTTATTTTTGTTATTCCTGGTTATTTTAAAATCATCTCTAATATCAAATAATGAATAATAATATCAAATAATAATGGTTTTAAAACGAGTGTACGTTGACGATTCCTTTTAATTTCTGCAATTGTTTTGCTTAGTTCTAATACACTTTCATTCTATTCAGCATTCTATAGAATAAACTATTTTAATAAGTAACTAATATACAGGGTTTTCCATTTAACGTCAGACAAAACCTTCAAACCCGTCATTTTGGTTTTTGTTGTAACTACCGTTCCAATTCTATTACTGTAGATACAAGCCATTTTCAATTAATATTTATGTATTTATATAATACAATATAAAAACATAATCTATTCACCATAACATTTTCGAAATATTGTGACTCTTTTTAAGGTATCTACCCATATGCAGGAGAAAATTTTGAATAATGTTAGTTTTTTTTTAATTATTGTGAATAAAATATTTTACGCACTATCAAAAATGTTGAAAATGTATTAGAATGTTCCTCGTAAGTTTTTATTTAAGTAATTATTTAATTTGTTTAATTGCTATAATAACTGTTTTTAATATTTTGTGTTTCAATTTTAATA